AGCTGGGAGCCCCACATGCCAGAGGCAAAGTCTGAGTCTGGTGTAAGATCATCTCAACATGCATCTCCACTGTGCCATCCTTCCAGCCCAACAGCTGGAAATCGGACCTGTAGCGGTCCATATGTCCAGTTTTGTTCAAATTGCTGGTTGTCCCCTGTCTTGTTTATCTGCTTCTGATGCTGTTATTTTAAAAGATGCGATGGATGCAGCAGAAGTTATGTGTTTAGCAGGCAGCCAGACAGAGCTCTATGAAATTAAAGGCCAGCAATAACAATGATGATCTGTGGCTGATTTGCCGCATACAACAAGCCAGGGCAGTTCATGCAGCAGTCTCCGGATCTAGCACAGTGGTTTTGGCTAAGCTAACGCACCTTTTAGAGAGGGTCTGTGGTTCCAGAAAGCAAAAGCTGAGTGGGTACCTGCAGGAGAGCCAGCAGGCTCTGGCAGTTGCCTGGTAACTCACTGAGCAGCAAAGCTCCATCAGGAACCGATAACAAAAGGCTACGGCATCTCTTAATTAGGTGTTCAGTGGACAGCTACTTCTGCCTTACTCCTGCCCAACTGCAACTCCCAACTCACTAGAACAGCGAGGGATGTTCATGGGTCAGTAATAAAAGTCCCTTTCAAAGGAGTGTGATGTTTGGCCAAGCACCTGTTTGTCCACCCCGGAGGACTTTATCAATTAGGGAGAGAGCGGCGCACCAAAGGGTCTGCAGCAAGTGAGAGAGAGATGCTCACACCAATATCAGCTTCACAGAAGTAATTCTGGTGTCAAAAATCAATTATCACCAGGATTATTTTCTTTGTCAGCTGTCAAGATAAAAACCAACTAATTGGCTAACAAAGTGAAACGAGATTGAGCAGGAAGAGAGACCCAAATGAAATAAAGGGGCGCTGGATTCATGCACTTATCTTCTGCTCTCATCGTGTCACCTGTGTCAGAGCCAGAGGCTCCGTGAGTGGGAGCAGTCTGCAGAAAGAAAAGCTGCTTGCCCAAGGGTGGCTGGCTCTCTGCGGGCTTTTGGCTGCCTCGTGTTATCCGTCCTTCCTTCAAACACAAAAAGAGGAGCAAGAAGAACACTCCCTGTTCTCTCGGCCCCCAGAGAGGAGACACAGCTCGGCGACCAGCATAAAGGAGAATGACACTGGGCACCCCAGAGCTGGTGTCCTTTGGCTCCAGCCCTCCTCAGCCTCTGCTGACGGGGGAAACCGGCCATCTCTCCTACATCCGGGGTGGGAACTGAACAGAGATGCCTCAGCTCACATCCTCTGGGCAACCAAGCAGCTAGCTACGGGCTTTCAGACTGTTTGCAAACCTAGAATCTCCTTACAATGTCAGCTGTAAAGCTGGGGGTGAGAAGTTGGCTTACTCCTCTTTTCCACCCCCACTCCCTTTCCTCCACAATTTTTTTTTTTTTTAAAGGCTTTCAGCAGCTGCTACTTACAGCAAGAAAAAATAAAATACACCCCAAACCTACATTTTGCTCATTTTCAGTCTCTATAGCAACAGAACACAGTTGGCCAAAGCAATTATCCTACCTCTGGCTGCTGAGATGTTTAAAGGCTGTTACAAAAATGGGAAGTTGTGGGAATACAGTGAGTGCGATGGCAGGATCATTTGCATTTAATTGTTGAGAGGCACTTCGACACCATCAAGTGCACAATTGCAACATCGCTTAAAAGGATGATCGAGAAGGAGAAGAGCAGCTCCAGCTCCTCACTCACTGACAGGATAAGGCGATCCCCTGCTTGTTGTGGGCAAAAAACCACC